TTAAAAAAAAAAAAAAAGCAAGGCAGCTTCTCTTTTCGACTGAGAGTGATGCATATTTGAGTGCAGTAGCAGTCCAGCAGCTACTACAACCACAAAGGTGTGGTTTTCCCTCTCTTCTCTCTGTGTCTTTGCTTTACCCAGCAGATAGCTAAACAGAGAATCTAATAAAACATTTTATGTTTCCCCATACAATTATTATAAGGCCTAGTTTCCCCTTTTTTTCCCGCCCCCTTTCCTTTCAACACTCATATTTAGTTCTAGTTCAGGCTGCTCGACTTCTCTCGTTGAGACTAGGCATAAATTATAAAAATTGGAACTGGAAAACTCTGGTAGAAACACCTGGTAGAAATCTCAGGGGCACAAAACCCCTTTCTTACTCCAACCAGGTAATCAGAGAAAAGGGTTTAAAACTATTCTCTATGAGGGAAAATGGGTAAATGATCAGATGTGAGCTTGATTCAGACTCCGGTGTGTGTACAAGAAGCTAAAGATTAGTGAGTTGGCAACGCTTTGTTCATGTACTCATTGAGAGATTTAACAGGAACTTCAGCCAAACTGTGACTAATGAGTAAGTAACTAAATAGTATCTTTACTGATCTTCCCATGCCGTGATAGATAACAAAGCTGCTGAGGACAAAATTCAGAGTGGATAATAGTAAATGTTGTGGAACAATTCATGGTGGGGGCTGAAATCTACACCAGGATAAAAACTTCACATTTTCCTTAAGAATAAATGCATAGAATTTACTTTCTGTTCTCTCATTTCTACAATGACAACATCAATTAAAAATTACAATATGCAGATAACTCATTAGCTAAAAATTGTAACAGTTTAGTGTAACTGAGTATAGTAAAACTCATATCTATCTCCGTTCAGCCCCACAACAATGCACTACATCACAAATGATAGGGGAAACTATAAACTTAAACTTACCTCAATCGTGATTCCCTCTTGCTCGAGACACAGGACTTCCTTGGATTTGACCTTTTGAGGACTATAGTAGCTACTCTCTGACTGGGTCTCTGTCAACTAAGAGAAAAATAAAAATAAAAAGACTAAATATAATTTATACATAAACAAGAAAAGTACAAGAAAAGAATAATAATTAAATTTTTCCATCTCCTTTTTTTAAATTAAACAGTAATATACTTGGTGTCCCCAAAAAAATCAAAGTATTGGACGATGAATACTGATGTCTTAAGTAGTTCACCTGCTGTGATTTGGCAGGATCAAAAAAGAACTGCAGCAATAAACTTGAAATAATAAAATTAGATGAGAGAAAGGCCAGTTTATTCAAGGTGAAATTTCACTGCCTCAAAATGTTAGCCGAGGACATTAACGGTTTCACCGACAGTTAAAACAAATGCATGATTTGAAAAATAAGCAAAGGTTTTGGAAGTGTCCGATGTGAAGAACTAGAGAAAAATAATGGTTAAAACCACCAACAACGACATCCAAACAAGATTTTCTTAGATTAGAGACTAGATGCTAGCTGTATTGCTGTTTGGATTCCAAGAACATTCATCAACCCACAGGACATCCCCTCTTTGCTTTTGGAGGAGACTCTGGCCTTAGTGGGATGACTATAAAACTATGACTAAAGCGATTCACATACCAAGGGGAAAATGAAATGTGCAATTTATTGTATTTGTAAACTGACTATAAAAGGGGAATGGTTCAGCAGAATATTAATTTTGGTTGTTGAGTAAATGGAAGTAGAGAGGAAGAGAGAAACTGAGCACCTGGTCAAAACAGACCAGGCTTAAGGGCCACTGGGGAATTTCTAACTCACTTCTTTGGCCTAATAATTCAAACAGTGACGTAGCCTGGCCAGTATGTATGCTGCTTTAGAGTTGAGCACTATGATCACACAGGTGTGAAATATCCCCGCTCTGTGAATACAATCAATGTCTGCCAGCTAAGAATATATGTATTGCACCACACAAGCTTATCTCCATATATCTTTAAGTAGAGCTGAGAAGAATTCCATGACAGCCAGCAGACAGAGAGAGCACCTGGTCAAAACTAGTCGGCCAGGGTGAGAAGGGTTCAACGCAATGCTTCTGAGGTTGGCTACTTTCAAAACAGTGGGTGTAGTGCAGAATGTGCAGACCCTAACCCATTCAACAGGAAGCAGGTGTAGAGGAAAAAGCAGCTGTGCCCTATTATCCATACTGATGGAGCAGACTCTCTCGCCCTCATTCCCTTCCCCTTTTTTCAATTTTGATGGTTTAATCACGTGCAGGGGCCACCTGACTCCAACCTGAGAGTCCCAGTGAGTAATGGCAAGATCTGTCTGCCCAGATCAGCGTACAGTGGCACTGACAGTAAATCACTGCAAATTAGCAGACAAACCTTATGAATGTACATCCAATAAGAATATAGAATTTCTCAATCTAGTCTGTTGGGGCATTTCAGACTGTACCCAAGTCTGAAATGACACAGCTGACAGAAGACGGGTTAGCAGCACAAATACACAAAGCTGCGGCTGCCAATATCTTTCCTCTAAAGTCCCATTTATTATAATTTAGAGTAGAATGCAATCAAATTATTCTCTATAAGGTATCTTTAAAATGTAAAAACAGTGAACACTGTCCTTGTAACATGGATCGATCACTGGTTTGGTTTAAAACCAACTGTGGAAGCAACTGAATTCGACTATTGGCTCAATAATTAAGAGAAACAATCTAAAGAAACAATGTTTCTTCAAATGAAAAATGGCACGAGGTCTGGCATGTAATGAGAGTTTGGCAAGTACGCAAAAGTAAAAGAGGGGAACAAATGGTCAGTGCTAAACTATGCATTATGTGAGTAAAAGTCATTAAATTACACTGCCAATGTTTCTAATCAAAGAGATCTGAGGAGTAATGCGTCAGCAATCTAAAAATACCTCTCTGATTTCACATTCATGTCAAACTCAGGTTGAAGCAGTGGCTGTTCAAAGACATGAAAATTCCTTCATACTAAATACTTCCTTGTAGGAAAGAGACAAGAACGATTTAAAAACCATCCTTTCAGCTGTGTGCAATTATTGCAGACGAGAGGCAATTAATTGATTAAAAGAACTCAAACAATACAGGAACAATTTAAACATTATTAGAAAAACACCAAGGTCTGTTTGGCCTGAGACAAACCTCCCCTTTACTGATCACACACGTCAAGTAATATACGCTCTCGCACACAAACGCATGCACGCACACACACACACACACACACACGACCAGTAATGTGATCTAAAGTGCCTGAATCTGACAGGAAACACAGATGAATTCCAACTATTCTGAGTGAGCAGGCAGGATTAAAGCTTGGGGTCCATTTCTGAATAGTCATCATACCATGTATAATGTTTAAAACATTAATGTGACCCGAGACGCTAGTTAGCGGTTATACTGCCCTCCCCTATACCGCACACAGAAACACAAAGAGGATTGGGGCTTCCTGAGGATCAAGCAGTTTTTGAGACTTAAAATGAAACTGACCATTAAATTAAAATATGCAACTGTGTGGTGGCCAGTGAGAGTGATAATAATGCACTGAAGACAAAAAATTCTAATATAAAGGCTTCCTAAATGTAGAAATCATAACAGATTCTTGACAGATTGGTTCTTTTACACTGGCAGAGTGGTAAAAAAATTACCTCATATCCGAAATGTACAAAAAGCAAGTCCCCCCCCCAGTGAAAGCTGTCAATGTTAAAATAAGTTAACAGAAGTAAAAGGATTATTCAAGGGTAGGGAGTATGGTTTTGAGCTCGGTGCATATTTTCTCTCTTTGTAACAACTATACAGGGGGTGATGGGGTGATTGGGGGGGGGGGACAGAGATGCAGATACTGATAAGGCTGAAAGTAAGGATTGTGGTTGCTTTATTGACAGGTGTGCCACAGGCAGCTGTAGCCACAGGCAGCTGTCTGATAGGCCTCACCTTCAATATTTCGAGTGACTAAAATAAACCTCTCGACCCTGCTCGCGATGTTGGTGCAGTTTGGAGCATTTATATGGAAAACTATATAGGTTCCTGTGTGGCACGGATCATAAAGCAGTTTGTGTTTCATTTCTGCCAAGTGAAATTCTAGTATTTTACTTGACTATACTCAGCGCTAACTAGCCAGCATCCGGGTCTGTGCATTGCACCCATACAATTTATGAATCCAACATCGAAATCTGGTTACTTTGGCTCCAAAAGAGCCGAAACAGCTTAAACTCAGGCTTTAAAATTGAGACTACAGAAGCCAATGGGTTACATATAGTCCATGACCCTTCATGGTCAGTACTTAGTAAAACCTCCTCTAGGAAAATATCCTAGCTTGTAAATACTTTTTGTAGTTGTGAGGAGTCTTTCATTTCTTGTTTATGGGATTTTCTCCTATTCTTGTTTCAAATGCTTCCAGTTCTGTATTATTTTGATTGATATTTTGTTGGGAGGACTGAAGGCCATTCCAAAACTTTCAGCTTGAGCCTATTGAGGCTTGGTTAGGATCATTATACTGTTGTAGAGGCCATTCTCCTTTCATCTTAAGCTTTTTTTTTCCTTACAGTGTGACGGTTACTTCCAGAATTTGCTCGTTTTTAGTTAAATCCTTTGTTTTAAATGATAAATGAACTCTTGCTATATTACAAACAGCAGCAGCGTCACAGGCTTAACACAAGTCCAATGAATGCTTAAACCACTGCTGTGGAAATGGACATTTATTTCATATTGAAACATAATTTTGTATTTAAGTTATGATGGTGATGAGTTTATTTTATTTTTTCAAACATCTTATTTACCTTGAAGGTAACAGAAGCTTTGGTGCAGTAGAAGCCTATGGAAACAATGGGGTCTTTGGGTGTGTGGTGTTGGGAGCTGTTGGGGATGCTTCCCATCTCTCGCTGCTGGTAGAGACCATCCTCTCCTTCTTCCTCTGTGCTTACAATGGCTGGAACGAAGGACCAAGCCCAGGACACCCAACCTTGGTTTGCTTCGTCAGGATTACCAGACTGTATGTAGAGGTCTTGGCTAGATCGCCTTTCCATGTCTACATCCATTCCTGAAGGAGATAAAAGTCTTAATTAGATATCATTTAAACATAAACTTAGGATTTTACTGCAGCTGAATTAGCTGCAGTAAAAGAGAAAAATCTATATATCAGCACCCCCCCCACCCCCACCCCACACACACACACACAAAAAAAAATCCAAAACAAAACAGTGACATAATTCCTTTTCAGCACACTTTTACCCCAACAGGTAAATGCATTTAAAGTGGCAGTTTCTGAACACAACCTGGTTAAAGAGAGGGGAAACTTGCAGATAATGGAAGTGTCTGTATGCAGGGCGGCACACTAAATTAATTTACCCTTTCCTTCGGGGCATTTTAATTCTAGCAAGTTGTTTCAGCTGTCAACAGAACACACAAAAACAGCAGAGAACAAGGAAGTTTCACAGTAGTTTCTGCCAACGCTCCAGCAGGCAGGTGTGTAAGTATTTGTGGGTTACATGAACTCAGTGCTGCATGAATTCCACAGAGCAAGAGGAAGTTCATTCCAGCAGAGGCCAGAGGGCAAAGGCTGTCAGCCAGCATCCTGACAGAGGAGGGCTTTGACTGGACCCAGTGGTCAAGGCAGTCTGTGCTGGACCCAACAGCACAGGCCAATTTCAGTTATGCGTGTGGTCAAATCACATGTTTGGTAAGAAGCCAACTACTAAAATGGAGGCCATGCAGGAGTCCAGGTAACTATGAGCCACTAGCATAAACACTGCTTGGCTAGGAGCGTAGGTGAAACTTAGCAATAGTGTTAACTATAAGTTTGGGAAGATGGGGTGGAGCTGACTAAAGCACTGGCTACTTTGTAGAAAATCCACAGAGTGGCAAGTTGTCGGGGTTGGTTTACAAAAACAACCAAAAGTCTTCGCTTTTTCTCCAATTACCATTTGAGCAGTCAAAAAACCACCATGCACCCATCCATTCCTGATCCTGACCCCTGAACTGGTCCCATCATGTATGTTTCCATACACATTGGGATAGAGGAAGCTGATGTCAATACATAAGAATGTGTAATTCCATTCCTTGTGGCCTCACGTCCTCTACGAGAAAACAATATTGTCCGTGAGGTCACAACTTAGGAATCCCAGAGGGTAAGGCGGTGAAAATTATGACATATTTTAATTAAATCTTTCACTTTGTGAATTGGCAGCTGGAAATCCCATGTTATGGCTTTTTTATCTGTCTTTCCATCCCAATCTCCCCGTCTGATTCCATCGCTCATTCCTTTTTTTTGTTTTTACTCAAGGAAGCCTTTGAGGTGTCAGTTTAACAAGTTAAGCTCTTTCACTTCACATCACAGCCTGACGAAGTCTACATTTGAATTACAAGGCAATCAAAATAAAAGCACAATCACCAATCAAATGATCAAAACAGAGCAGCTTAAGGACACTTTGAAGTATTAAGCCCTAGAAGTGAGTGAAAAATTCCCAAACGATGATGTAGTCTGGCCAGAATGTATGCTGCCTTGGCGTTGAGCACTATGACCACACAGGTGTGAAGTATCCCTGCTCTGGGAGTACAATCAATGTCTGCCAACTAACAATGTATGTATTGCAGCACTCTATGAACATCTATCCATATATCCTTAAGTAGAGCTCAGAAGAACTGCATGACAGTCAGCGTCATGTATGGTTTCTCTTAGTCTAGAGTCTTCAAGCAGCAGGGTAGGTCTAAGCTAGGAAAGGATTCGGTGTAAGAGACAGTGACACAGAAAGTGAATGGGAAGTAGTAAAAAGAGGCAGTGCTCTCACAGGCCAGTAGATGTCCCTCCATGTTTATAGAGGGAGAGGTGGACTGTTACCTGACCCTTCAGTGAAGGCTACTCCTATCTACTGATTGTGCAGGTGTTTGTGTAGAAATGCATACATGTTAATACTCAATCTAAGCTTAACAGATAACCACTGATGCAAAAACTCATACCATAGTGCAATGCATTCATAACGACGTTTTTTTTCATAACTGAACTTACGTACATCATTTTTGCTACCAGCATGACATTAACATCATACTACTGTAAAAGCAATTTTAACTCTAATAGCAGAAACCACTAAACCACTAAATTCAAAGGTCATCCCATGTTCACAGTAACACTACAAAAAACGAAACAATGACTAAAAAAATGTCCTGTCATACCAATGTATTATCACTAGAGAGCTACTTGAGGTTAGCAACACTGACACAGCCTGTGGTTTCTGGTTGATTCCTGTGTGAAGGTCTTTTCCATTCAGCACACTTCAAGGGACTTGGAGGCTAAGCCCTCCTACAAAGCAAACACTAAACACCAAGTCCCATTCACATGCACATATGATATTGGAGAAAAGTACACAAGTAACAAGTATAAGGGCTCGTGTATGTTACACAGAGATGCACATACCCTGCCACACTTCAGCAGCCACAGTCCTCAGTTCATAATTCTTCACATACTTCTTGAAACCATACAACTCTCACTGCTGTGACCAGCTGGTCCATCCAAGCATGTTAGTCATCTATGTTTCCAACCACTTAATTCTTTAGAGTTTTTCTCAGACTTTACTGAATTTCAGACAGTAAGAAAACTAGCCATGTAATCCTAACCGAAGGGTTGTTTTGGTTAGTGACACACAAATATCGCACAATCTTCACCTAACAAGCCTATTCATTAATGAGACATTGGCTCTTACCTAAAAGGAAACGATTCAAACAAACAACATGCAGCCACAGTGAATCATGGGCACATAAACACATTACAAGGCTTTTTCCACTTCAATAATTGGCAAAAAGAAAAACACCTTCACATGTGGGAAAAATTAATATTCCCTTTGAAATTTTTTTTAAAAACAGACCACTTAAGTCATGGCTTATTAATACATTACACAGTAGATACAGAATTTATTCCTTACTCTCAACTCAATCTTTTGACCACATATATACACCCTCACACAAATAAACCTCATTTTATAAAAAAACAAACAAAGAAACACTAGGAAAATTCAATCGGTGCAACAGTATCAGTTACAAAAGCCAACTCAAAGCAAGAGTAAATAAATGAAACGCACATACAGGCCAGTGGAACCAGAACATGCAGCAAGACTCAAGTAGCCTATGGGAAATCAATGAATGTTATGAAGTACTATGCACAATGTTGGTATCATATTCCAGCAATCATGTAACAATGACGGTTTCCTACAAACTATAGCCCACGAACAATAAATATGCATGAAAGCCAATTCAGTCTCTACAAGTGTAGTACTCCGACTCAATGTATGGCTGTCTGTCCTGGTTTGGAAAATTATATTTTGTCATTAAAAAGAATAAATCATTTTAGCTTTATTGTTCTTATTTTTTTCCAGGAGGGAAAAAAATCAGCTTTATTTCATAAATCTGAAATGCACACATTTAAAATCATGTTTATGAATATGTTTGGAGCCCTCTCAACACACACACCTACTTATTACAGTGCATATACACACAATTGCCCCCCTGCCCCCTCCAGCTTCTTCACTCTGACGATTACTTCCAGCATAACAAGATCTGGGGGTGCTCAGGTTCCAAGAGCTGGTCCCCTCTTGTATATTTTTGTGATGGGATACTAATTCATTCTCAGAGGCTCCGCATAGCAGTAGCATGACACCGACTCTTACATCTGGCATTGGACACTGAACTGGAAGCTGCGCCAACTTGCAACGAAAGTTCCACGCCAAGAGGCAGGGAGCAAGTTAGAGCGAGCGAGGAAAGGGCCGTGTGTGGGGCTGTCTACGCTCCCCTCTGCCCACTACTTCTATTCCACCATAATTTGCTCCTGGTGCTAGAGAGGCTGATTTAGCCCAGAAGGACTTGACACTTCATACATGAGCATTTTAAGAGATGGGTGTTCAGGGGAAGAGGGATGTCTTTTTTTTCTTTTTTTTTTAAATAACCACAGTTATTCAAAGTATACTGTATAAATATATGTAAATGAGTGCAGTTTTATGAGTGTTCAATTTTGTACAACTCGGTGTCTGCCTTTAAACAACTGCACCTATGCGTTTTGCTTCACAGCTGGACATAAGCAGTGTGATTTACCATGTGCTCCAATTAGAAAGATAGAGGTGGACCTGTGTTTGATTCAACCTAGTTTCTTCTCCTTATCCTGCTTTCTCCTGCTTCCAACCACATGGAGGTGATCAGGCCTGATGACAATGGTCTGTATCGAGTTATACGCTCCAGATTTTGTTTGTGGAAAAAGCAGGAGGAGCGCACACCATGGTCAAAGCGATGTTAAATGTCCCATTTAGGAATAACAGCAACATATAAAAAAGACAAAGCCCCTGATCGGAATAAGGCAACATGCAGAGTCATGGGATGACCATGAAGTAAGACCATGCAAAATTTGATTTGTTTTGCTTTGTATGTCACTTGATTCAAACATGCTATGGTGATAAGAAGCATACTTAGCCACTGAAATGTTCATAGAGCAAAACATACGTATGCTTTAGCTGTTGTTAGTGATTAAGTCTAAAATTGAAATTCAATTAGCTACTAAAAAACAAGAAATAATATCTTTAGAACTATTATGATACTGAATTTTTGTGGACTTTTGTGGACTGTCTTAAAACTTGTTTTAAACATAAAACATTAACAAACCAATCAAAGTGTTAGAGAATTACTGTTGCTTTCCATAAGAAATCTCACTCACCAGGTAAACTTGCTCCAGAATCCCTTGCATGCCCATTGCCTTCTTCACCCTCATCCTCTTTGTGTCCTCCGATTTCCCCATAGTAAAGAGCAATGATTAGCTCCAAGATTCGTATAAACATGGGTAGCTGCTGATCGGTAATGGACAACTTCAGGCTCTCCACCATGGTATGGATCTGAAAAATAGTTAGCTATAAATTAGATTTTGATATTTGATCTGATTAATGCACAGATTTATATGAAAAATACAGAACACATCTATCATCTTCTCTTAGAATTCCAGTACTTTTTAAATATTTGTTCTAAACAAATCTTAGTGTAGAAGAGCTTTTGTCCAACTAAGTGTTCACAGTTATACAAAATGGATGAAATTTCTTTAACAAATCTTTGTTAAGGTGCTCAAAGTAGGATTAGTACCCCAAAAAGTATGTACTAACAGCACTTGACTTAAAATTCTAACACCGATTTTACTTCAGTCGTGTCTCAGATCATTTCTAGTGGTACCTTAGATTTTCATGAAGAAAGTATAATCTTCCCAAAACAAGCAGCTGTTTCCACATATATTTAAAGTCACTGGTTGACAACAATTCACTGATATTAGTCATTATCCTGCCATTGATGTGAGAACAGCTGCCCAAACAAAAGTCAGCCACATTAATCTTTGACATCTGTAAACTGTTAATAGAAATGTAAGTTTTTCCATCATATGGAATCTTCAGACAACAGCATATTGAAATTATATTAACCCCTAACATTTCCTTGAGCTTTGCTAAAATGATGGCAGTTATTCCTAAAATCACAGGCTGGCTCACTTTTATGACAGATGGGATCTTAGAGTTGATGTTGTCATATGTAAAATGGAGGCGTGTTCTGAAGGAGCATTTGTACAAGAGCGGGTCCTGGTAAAACTCAATTTTGCCGCTAGCATTCCGTTTGTCCAAACACACGGTGCAGTCAGCAAAGTTGATCAGTTTCCTTAGGACCAACTCTGGAGCTGCACAAAGAAAAAAGCAAGAGAAGAAAAGAGGATTAAAACAAAATGAGGTATCATTAAAAACAAACAAGTTAAATTATGCACACACTAACAGCAGCTCCTGACAGCAAATTCTCATTATCAGTGATCTAGTTAAAATAGAGAGCTAGCTCAGAGAGTTTGTTTGTTTGTGTTGTGTGCATGTGTGTGTGTGTGCATGTGTGTGTGTGTGTGCGCGTGCGTGCGTGTGTCTTGGTTGGCCACACATCATCAGGTTCTCACTTGATACTGACTCACTTACCCTTGGCAGAATGATAACAGGACCTATTCCCAGAATTATTTCACTGTCTAAACAGTGCCAGTAACCATTACAGTACTCACTAGTTGCTTTCAAGAAGTATGTGACGAACACTTCCTCTTCCCAGCAACTTCCATGAACTTCATTGACACTTGAGTTGATGTTGGACGATTCACATTAGCAGCCATTATTTTTCTAGACAATTCTAGCACTCTTTACATAGGGCTTATTCCTGTTAACATCACCTGTGCTAAACCCAAACAACAAATGATGATGTACTTTAAGGGAAAAGCTCTCCCTCTGCTGCTGTGCCAGAAATTTGAACATTGTTGTCGGTCTTTTAAGGTCTTTTAATTGCTATTTGCAATAATAATAATAATAATAATAATAATAATAATAATAATAATATAATAGACAACATATACAGTAAATGCATATGAGCACAAGGCCTGAAGGAAACAAGATACATTCACATATATTGTACATACATGTGCATATTATATCTCAATCTGCATACTATATCCTTCTCTCAAGTATTGGCTTTAAAAATGAGACATCTTTACATTTGTTTGTCCTTTTTTTAAAACTAATTATTAAAAGGTTTACTATAGGGGCTACTATCTCAGTATGTTTACTAGTTAATCTAATTACCAAGGAATTTAAGAGGCTATTGCTCACCAGTAATGTCCATGAAGGCTCTTTCCCATAAATCATCCACTGTGTAGCACTCTGCTGAGGTGATGTTGACTGACAGCACAATATCATCTTCCACATACTTAAGGATCAGGTTGTTCACCACAATGTTCACGTTGTTCACCACACGTCTGATCAGACTTTGGACATAGCCTACAAACACACAGGTTAAAACATAAGAATCATATTAACCCATAAAATAAGTACACAAAGACACAAAGACAATAAACCTAATTACCAGGACCCAAAAACGCATGGACAAGAACATATTAGATATATGAAAGATTACATTTGTGTTGAGACACAATAAAGAGTAAAAACTAGAGCTACATTCCATAGTGTGTAGTGTAGACTCAGTACCACTGACCCCTGCCATCCTTATGGACTTGTAAATAAGAGACTATCCTGGCATGTTATTCTTCTATCCAAAAAAAGGAAAGAAGAAAAAAAAATCAACCTCAATAAAATTTGCAGCTCTTTAAATCACAGTGTATTAATAAATCTGAAGGGCTCTACTTTCTCTCAGATGTAAAATCCTATTTAACTCCAAATTATGCACGTATTGCAATGACTATATCCCTTCCAAGCTCATTAAACTACTGAGGCACCTTTGTGTCCACTTAAACACAACCAACTTTCACTGAATAAGTACTCACACACACTCATACATAAAAATATGGGTCTTTATACATACACAGAATAGTGCAATTAAAAGCACAATAAATCCCTGTCATAGGAATCCCATAATATGAAGGGGAAAAAAACAATTTATTTAGGAACTTATGAACTCCTCAAAAGATCAGGATAATCAGGACTGGGCATTTTTCCAACTTTTCCCCTTTTCACAAGTAAAAGGACACTAATGGAAATGGGTTGCTTGGTGAGGGGGGGCACCTGGGCAGGACTTGCATATTCCCACTTGCTTGATGTGAATTCTCCAAACAATTACCTGCAGTTTTCTCACATGGGTTCAATCAGACATTACAGAGACTCTGTAGCAGAGAGCTGGTAGCATAATGACTGTTTAATGTCCAGTCCAACTAATTCTGACATTTGCAGAATTCTCAAAAAAAAAAAAAAAAAAGGCTCTGTAGGTATTACCAAGAAAAGATCAGGGCTGCAGTGTATGTATTAATATGTCTCATGACAAAATCTGCCAGTAATAAAAAGAGCAAAAAAAAAAGAACCAATGAGTGACCTGCATAATAACTATTTAGTACACTGTGAATTTACACTGGAAAAACTTGGGTCATAACTTTTAGAAATGTAATGCATTAATTAACTTAAAACATTTGAGAGTGTGACTTTCACATTTTGAGGCTAGGAAGAGAAAGGATTCTCAATTATACATAAAACTAGAAATTACAGTATTCAACTTTTTTAAAGGCTGAGGGAGGTGAGGGTGACAGTCCTTCTGTTGAGGAAGTGGGTGGATGTAGTAGCCTAGAGCAAGCACAAGAGAAAAAGCAGCATGACAGATTGGGTTTCAACAGAGCTGAGGGAGCCATCCTGCAGTGTTACCAGTACCTCCTAATGGCCACAGTGACGCCCAGAAACAGAAGCTTTGCAGGAAAAACATACATGGTAAGGTCATTACTCAACAAAGTAAGAAATAACTTAAAATATTACAGACAGGGGAGTTTCGACCATAAAAAATGAAAATATACAGCAATAAATCCTCCTAACCACAGGACCAATGGCATTATTCATTCCTCCCAAGTACTGTTAAACACAGTCACTACAAGTTAAAATATATAAAGCTTTAATGCTTTTCCCTTATTTTCCAAACCAAATGTTTTTCTTCCTGTATCTACATGCCTGGCCCAGGGCATAACAGAACCAATAATTAAGTAGAACAAAATGGTGCTGTTGATGAAAATATTTATATGAATTGGTTAACTGTTCTGCCACTTGTACACAGGCCCGACTATGTATTAGCATAATCCAATTGACAAAATTCTCATGAGTTAGCTGCCTGACCAAACACAGCAGCAGGAAGAGAGGATGACATAATATGAACTCAACTCATACTTAATGTGTGTTCATGACACTTGTGCGTGGCCTTGCATGCATGTATGTGCTTGTCTTGAGTGGAGCTGAGTGTGTGCCTGGCAACTTCCTTACATGCATGAATGTGGCTCTGTGTATGTATGTGTGTGTGTGTGTGTGTTTCTGGGGTCAGTCAGAAAGCCGATGTTGCACCTGCAGCCTGGGCAGTAAAACCAGCACTTTACCCCCTGCTATTTACCTCTCTGGATCTAATTTACACATGTCAGGGTGTCCTTTCTTTCTCTCTCGCATGCTTGTACACTTGTTATACCTCTTCTTGCCTTGTAACAAGTCCAAGGCCCCAATCCATCTCCCTGTGAGCCATTGCACTGCTCTGAACTTCTGTAAACAATTGACACAGGCAGCACCTGTGCTGCAGCCCACAGGGAAGAAGCCCACTTAAAACTGTTCAACCATAAAATGGCTGGAAAAACCAGCTCCTTTATGTGATCTAAGAACAGGCCAAGTGGTCTTTTCTGTGCAATACAGGAAAGAAACACTATACTGTACATGCTCACCATTTTCCTGTATATGGAAAGTATTAGCAACTTTGCCACAGTTATTAGCCATAAAGAAAAAGACAAGTCCATAAGACACTAAATATACTGTAAAGTTGTATTGCTGTGTTATTTAAAATGGTATTAGCACTATTGCCAATGTGACCAGAAGCATAAATACAATTCCTGTTGTGGAACGTGGCATCTTTAATAAAATACAGTAAGCCACTATTAATTTTCAGTTTGTAACGTAAAAAAATGCAAAGACAGCAGTGAAAGGATCTCACTTCCGCTGAGGTAACTTTCCAGCAGTACTATGGAAACACATTAATATATGATTCGATTCTTACTAAAGCAGCAATATAAGCCGTCTAATTATGCTAACTATTCAGTTAGCTCTAGGGCCCCTTATAGTAAAGTGGGAGATTCAAGGAACTCAACCATGCAGGGTACAGCAAGGCACTAAAGCAGAACAAAGACTTGGCTGGAGAAATTACCAGCCTTCGTGTGTATGGGTTATTTTCTTTCCTTAGTTAGCAGTTTCCACTAATATTACAAAAGCTTCTGTATTTATATTATAGGTAAATGGCCCAATACTCTCAACAGCTAGCAGTGCTAGGTCTTGTTGTGTTGCTGCTTCAATGTGCAAGGTAGAACGTCAGATGAATTATGTCTGAAACTGCAGGTTCTGGTTAGACTGGCTGTCCAGCTCACAGCGGCTCTCAGGAGCAGAACAAGGACTATTATCACCGGTTGCCGTCAATGACAGTGGAGACAGCTGGGCTAGTTGGTTAGCTGCAACTACACTTTCAAAATAAGAGTGAGGGGATGGTCTTAGTAAATTAGTGAACTGTATCGCAGCAATCCAGTATTGGATTTTTTTTTCTTTCTTGCTGATATTTTTGATGAGAGGATGCTGCAATTTGTAATATTTGCATTAAATGCAGGTTAGTTTCTATATCACTGTTAATGACATCAAATCACACAGTGCTATTTTTAGCTACAGTTAGTGCATTTCCTTTTTTCCTGCTTCTGGTTTTGCTCATGACATGAGTGCTGTTTACTGGTTTGAAAACTGAAGACTGAAAACTCTTATTAGGTCTGTTATTGTTGTTTCCAACAAGAAAATGAAAAAATATCTCACTAAGATCTCTATATAATGTGATTCAGCTAGATATATAATTTCACTGAGTGACAACTGAAGAAATTGTTTCCTTTCAGTCAATTCACTTTGGTACAACACAAGTACAGGATATCACGTCCCCACGTGTCTTGGCTGACCTGTGATGACATGCACAGGCCTACTTGCGCACATTCCCCCTGTTATCACAGTCATCCCTTAGAAAGGTAAAGAGCATAAAAACTAAGAACACCTTTGCTAAACTGGACTAACTTGCTGCTGCTAGTTAGCTCGATTGTCTGCTAGCTTGAAGTTAGCTTAACTGCCCCTGTTGGAGTTAGCCTCCACCGTGCAGTTGTTGTGTAGACTGCCCATGCTGCTAAATTTGAGTCTTCCTGTGTAGTGTTTTACTTTGTGTTTTGGAATGGACACAAAACTGAAACAAGAAAAGCAGAAATCTTCTGTTCACAACTGTCCTCGCATGGCATGCCCTCCCCTCTCCAAAGCCCAAAGACGAGGAGTATCCTGTTGATGTCCCCGCAATTATCTGGGCTGACCCCATAGAGTATATTGATGGGTTAACCGAAGACAAGCCAGAACTATGCAGGAGCACTGACCGGCTTCAGCCCAGCACTCCGCAGGAAGACAATGATGTGCTGGACGTCGGCCTGGACATTCATGGTTTGTTGGAGGATGAGCAGGAGAGCCCATTGTGGTGCTGCTGCCACGCTTGCCAGCCAACCACAATGGGACCCTGGGAAGCCAAGCCACCAACAAGAAAGCAGAACACACTGTTGCAGTGGGTGAGCCTCCAGCGAGAGCGCAGCCTCCTGTTCAAGTTCTAAGTCAATTGGCTTGGAGCAAAGGTCCACCTTTGGGCTAGAGTTGGATGTCTCGAGACCGGTCTTGGTCTCGAGACC